AAAAAAAAAAAAAAAAAAAAGATCAGAAACTATAAAACTCCTAGGAGAAAACATTCTGACTTCACAGCATTGAGTTTGGCAATGATTTCTTGGGTTTGACACCAAAAGCACAGGTCACAAAAGGAAAAAGTAGATACATTGAACAACATAAAAATTAAATTTCTGTGTGTCAAAGGGTGTGACCAGGAGAGTGGAAGTCAGCTCACAGGAAGGGGGGAAATATTTGCAAATCACATCTGATAATGAGTTAATACCAAGAGCAGCACTCCTAAAGCTCAACCTAAAAACAAACAATCCAATTCAAACATGGGCAAAGGACTCAGACAGTTCTCCAAAGAAGACGTCAAAGGCTGACAAGCACGTGAAAAGATGTTATCGATCATGCATCGTAAATCACTGGACAAACAGAGCTCAAAACCATAAGGAGATGCCACCTCAAACCTATTAGGACAGCTACTACTAAGAAATCAGGGCACGCTGGGCCCAGGTCACACCTCAGAGGACGGCCGGCCGGCCTCGTGTGCTGGCACTGGTCCTCAGGGTTCTGATAGGGCGGGCCCTGCCCTGCTGGGGGCGTCACCAGCCCCGAGCACTCTGTGTCCAAAGCCCTGGGTGGTTCCCATGAGCAGGGAAGGCCGAGCCCAGAGCCAGGGTCTCTCAGGCTGATGTGCTTGGCTGGGGGCCTCTGCTGTGGCTGGCCACACCCTCAAACAAGCCCTGAAAATGGGCCAGCACCAGGGAGGACTCAAGCCAAATGCTTCAGGCAAAGCAACTGAAGACCTGGGTCTCGGGTGTGAAAAGGTTTCATTCTCTCCAGTTCCCATCACACTCTCCAAGGCCTGTGTGGATGGCAGCGTCCACCCTGCCCCTGCCCCTGCCTTCTTGCCAAGCACCTCCCTCCACAGGGCCTTTGCTCCAGCCAACTCCTCGCCACAGCTCTGTTGCCCAGACGGGCTCCTGGTCCTTGGGACTTGCAGGATGCCACCTGCTCTGGGAACCCCTCCCAGATGCCAGATGTAGTGGTGGGCGTGGTATTTTTTTCATCATGCTGAAGGTGCCTGGTGCCTGTGTTTGCTTCCTGGGTGGAGCCCCTGCTCTCCCAGAGGACAGGGTTGCTCCTGCCTCTGCTACCTGCACACCTGTGAGCAAGAGTGAGTGAGACCCAGGCTGGGCACTCTGCAGACTGCAGAGCAAAGGAATGAGTGAGCACGTAAGCAAGTGGACGGATGGATGGAGGGACGGAGGGAGGGAGGGTTGGATGAATGGAGGGAGGGAGGAAGAGGTGGAAGGGTGAAGGGAGGATGGAGGGATAGGAGGAGGAAAGGAAGGAAGGATGGAGGGAGTGTAGGTGGCACTCACCCCTGGGGGGAGCTGGCACCCTTGGGTCTTGGCCTGACAGCTCCATCCCCATGTCTTTAAGCCTTGCCCAGGCTCGGGGTGGTTCCATACTGGCTGCCTTTGCTGGCCCTGGCCCCCCTCCCACCCCAGAGGGCCCAGAGTACGTACGTAGGACATGTACGCCGTGCCGCAGGGCCTGGACCCTGCCGGGCTCGATGGCCATGCTGAACGTGCTGTGCTGGTCCCCCACCTGGCCCTGCTCGGCGGCCTGGCGGACCATGACTGTCAGCTTGTTGGCGATGATGGTGTTCAGGACGGAGATGACCACCATGGGGAATATGAAGGACATGAAGGTGTTGACCTGCGGGAGAGGAAGGGTGGGACGTCACGGCCGGCAGCGGGACTCATGCTGGCCGGGGTGTCAGGCCTGCACGCTTGGCGGCCCTCAGTCACCACCGGTTCGGGAGGTCCAGTCCTGTCCCAGCTGCCCGTAGACACGGCCACCCCGGCCACAGTTCTAAGCTCGCTCCCAGCCTGCCCTGACTCTGCCTCTGACTAGAAAGAAGTTTGCAGGCTCCCCCACCTCCATGCCTCCACGAGCCCTTCCCGAGGGTCCTGCCTGGACATGGCAAGGAGCACACATGCTGGGGTGTCACTGGGGTGTGGCTGTGGCAAAGGCCCTGGGCTCTAGGTTCCCAGGTCTGGGCCTGTTGCGTCCATGCCTGAGGCCGGTCTCAAAGCTGTGTGCGGGCAGTTCTCGCAGGTCCTGACAGCTCACGCTAACAGAAACCCCTTCCTCCCGCCCACCCCAGCTACCTCTCAGGGCACTGAAAGGTACAGGGCTCCTCTTATTAGCGCCTGGAGCCCCCACTGCCCGCCCCCCGCCCGCTTCCACCCACAAGGCTGGGCCATCACAGCCGCTGTGTGCCTGATCCAAGCCCTGGACAGGCTAGAGGTCTGCCCAGAGACTCCGGCGTGGGAGGGGCTGCGCCGGGATTTGAGCCTGGCTTGAGCCGAGTCCTGCTCCTTCTGCGACTCCTGGCTGAGTCTCCACTTTGCAGGCACTGGCCAGGTGGCTGTGGCTTCCCCAGATGGGGCCGCGGCCCAGCCTCTCCCTCAGCCAGAGCTGCTGCTCAGAGCGGGAAGGGGACGCATCTGTGGATGCGCAGCAGCGGAGCAAGCCGGAACGAGCCAGGGCGGGCTTGGCCCGGCTTCTGATGGAGAAACCAGCCCCTCCATGGGGGGTGGAACGACAGCCATCAGAGGCTTCAAGTGCGTCCTTGGCCTTGGATTCTTTGTAAGATGCTCCTCCCTGCAAGCCAGATCCCGGCGCCTCTGGCTTCTGCACTTTGCAGGCTCCATCTCGTGCTGGGGACGAGGGCTGCCCCTCTCTGCCAGGCTGCCCGGGACCGCTCCATCTTGTGCTGGGGACGAGGGCTGCCCTCTCTGCCAGGCTGCCCGGGACCCTCATGCTGAATTGCTGATTCCAAGAAGCTTTTGGGTGTGTTGGAGAAGCGGCCTGTACTGCTCTGTGGCTGGTGGCTATGATTTCCGTAGGAAGTCCAGGAATATCTGCCACGGGGGTTCCCTTGGCTGGGCTGCAGGGACCTCCTCTCTGCTGACCTCCTCTCACCAGGGAGAGCAGAGCTGTGTGGCCTCAACAGTTCAGGTCAGGATGGCCCCAGTGAGGACAATCCTCACCTTGTCCCGCTAATGAAGGCGGCAGTGGCCACGGGACAGGGCGGGAATGTCGGCGCTCAGGTTTAATCCCTGGCCCGCTCTGGGCACTGGCTGACGGTCCTTCCTGCTCCCACCGAAGCACCAGGCTCCACTCAGAAGCACTCAGAGACCTTCAGGGAGAAGACGGCCCAAGCTCACCCTCAGGTTCCATTTGAGCAAAGATCTGCTAAACGGCTCAGAGGACATGCGTGGAGGGGGGAGACTCCAACCCCTGGAGGCAGCGTCCTGCACCTGCCTGATGGGCTCCTGAGAGCCACCACCACCGCCGCTGACCCTGCTGGGAGGCAGGTCTGTTCTGCCCTCCCCAACATGGGCTTTGGGATCTGGGGCCACCCCCACGCCCCCCACGTTCTGCTGCCCTGGCTGAAGTCCACCTTCTGCAGGATGACAAGGTGCCGATGAGGTTGGGGCGGGTAGAAAGTGCCTCTGCCCACTCTGGCTGCTGGGAGCGGGGCGGGGGATGGCTGGGCCCAGCCTCAGGAGACAAACCAATTCCGTGAGTCACCACAGCCCCGGCATAGTTTAAACAGCACCAATGTATCCAACACAGATTTTAAATGTCAAAACATTTAAAATACCAACCTCACCGACACGGGCAGCAAAAGTAGCTGCCTCCGGGGGCTGGTAGGCTGCGGGGTCTGGCCCTAGCCCTCTGGCTGCCCCTGTCGGAGGAAATCAGACCCTGGGCCCTGCAGTTCCCAGAGGCAGGGAGAGGAGGCCCCTCCCCTGCAGCACCCAAGCAGAGGCCACCGAGGGGCCATGTGTGCAGACAGAGGTGGCACAACCCTGCCTTCCAGAGGGAGTGTGGCCCTTCCCTGCCTCCCCCTCCTGCCCACCCTGGAGGCTGAGGCCGAGTAGGATTGGGGGCTGAGGGGAGTGCCCCTACTCCTGGGGTCAGCCTTCTCTTCCCAGACCACAGCTGGAAGCGGGGGCTTTGGCCAACGCCACTCTTCCTGTCATCTCTCCTGCTCTGGGGAAGGAGCTGCCTGCCCCCCACGACAAGCAAAGGGAGCATCAGTGAGCAGCGCGGGGCTCGGAGGAAAGGCTGCCATGCTGCCGGGGGCTTGGAGGACCAAGCCAGGCGAAGGACAGGCCCTCCCCGGGCAGAAGGACCCACTGAGATGATGTCTGTGCATCCAGTCCCCGTAAAACACCAGAGCTATCCGTGGTAGACACACCACAGCTCCACAACTTAAGTGGGAAGCAGTCTCAGAATGGCTTTGCCTGGGCTCACTAAGCAGGAAAGGGCATCTGTGGCCGTGGGTGCCTTTTCCCTACCTTTTAGGGAACACCTAAGAATGAAGCCAGCACGGGTGAAAGGGGGCACCCCAGGACACCATCTGTGCTCCCGGGCCAAGCTGTGCCTTCAGCTGTTACTCTTGGACTTTCAGTGTGTCTTGAGCAAAAGAAATCTTCCTTTTCTCAAGGGATAAGACAATTTGACTTAGCTCCTGGAACTGGTAACCTAACTCACAGAGATCTCACATCAGAAAAATTCCAGAGGGTCAGAAGATTAAAAAGATTAAAACCTAAAACCAAAAACTGTAACATTACTAAAAGAAATCATGGAAGTTTTACATTTAAATGTATATATTTTTAACCTTTCCCCCCCCAGCCTTATTGAGGCATAATTGGCAAATAAAAATTGTATCTATTGACTGGGTGCTGTAGCTCATTCCTATAATCCCAGTATTTTTGGGAGGCTGAGGCAGGAAGATCCCTTGAGGCCAGGAGCTTGAGACCAGCCTGGGCAACATAGTGAGATCCCCGTCTCTACAAAAACTAAAAAAAGCAGCCAGGCATGGTGGCACATGCCTATAGTGCCAGGTCCTTGGGAGGCTGAGATGGGAGGATCACTTCAGCCCGGCAGTTTGAGGCTCTGGTGAGCTATGACTGTGCCACCGCATTCCAGCCTGGGCAAGAGGGCGAGGCACCCAGCTCAAAACATTTGTACCTATTTGCTGTGTACACTGTGAAAGGATCATCACTGCCAACCTCGTGAGCACATCCATCACCTCACATAGCCCCTTTTTTGTAGTGAGAACACAAGATTTATTCTCCTAGGAAATTTCGAGTGTGCAATGCTGTATCGTTAACCCTGGTCCTCAGAGCTCCAGAACTTACTCGCCTTATAACCGAAACTTGGCGACCCTCGATCGACCCCTCCCCGTTCCTCACTCCCCTCCCCCAGCCCTCAGTGTTCTGCTTTTTCACGAGTTTGCTTTTTCAGATTCCACGCATAAGCGAGACCACACAGCGTTTGTCTTTCTGCGCCGGGCTTATTTCACTTAGCGTAAGGTCCCCAGGTTCACTGTGGCTACTGCAAATGACAAGATCCGCTCATGTTTCAAGACTGAGCAGCTCTCCCGGTGTATCCACGCCACGTCTTCTCCATCTGTTGGTCTGTTGAGGGACCCCTGGGTTGATTCTGTGTCCTGGCTATTGTGAGCAGTGCTGCAGTGGACATGGGCATGCAGGGATCTTTTTGAGATCCAGATTCCACCGGGTTGCATAAACACCAGAGTGGGCTTGCTGGATGCTGCGGTGACCCTATCCTTTTCTGAGGAGCCCCACGCTGCTTTCCGTAATGGCTGTACCAGTTTAATAGATTCCCACCGACAGTCACAAAGGTTCCCTTTTCTCCACAGTGTCCCCAAACACTAGCTACCTGTGGGCTTTTTGATGGCAGCCACCCTAATGGATGTGTGGTGGCAGCTCCCCGTGGTTTTGCGTTTCCGGACGACTAGTGATGTGAGCACCTTTTTGTAAACCCACTGGCCATCTGCACGCCTTCCTTGGAAAAACGCCGCCCGGGCCCCTTGCCCATTTTCAGACTGGTTACCTTTCTTCCACTTTGTACCCTGGCTTTTCATGTTGTTTCTTTTGCTGTGCGGAGACTTTCAATGAAACATGGTCTCATTCACGCTGCTTTTGTTGCCTGCGTTTTTGCTGTCATAAGAAATCATTGCCAAGACCAAAGTCAAGGAGATTTTCTTCTGTGTTTTCTGCTAGCAGTGTTATAGTTTCAGGGTTTATGCTTAGAGCTTTAATCGATTTTAAGCCGATTTTTTTGCATGGTGGGAGATAAGGGTACAATTCCATTCTTTTGCACGTGGACAAGTTTTCCCATCACCGTGTATTGAAGAGGCTGCTTTCTCCCCACTGTGTATCGGTGCCCTTGTGTCTAAGTCCATTTTATGTTGCTTACAACAGAAGACCCAAAACTGGGTGATTTATAAAGAAAAGGCATATATTTATTTTGGTTATGGAGGCTGGGAAGTCCAAAGCCCAGCGGATGCAACTGGCGACAGCTGTCGTACCGGTGGAGACTTTCGGAAAAGTTCCACAGTGGCATGGGGCCTCCGTGCAGAGGGGGCTGAGCATGCTAGCCCAGGTCCCTCATCCTCTTCTCAGAAAGCCACCAGCTCCCCTTGTGTGATACCTTCATCCAGTAACTTGTCTATTTGTGAATGAATGAATCCAGTCATGAGGGCAGAGTCCTCAGGACTCCATCACCTCTGAAAGGCTCTCCCTCTCAATTCTGCCACACTGGGGATTAGGTTCTAGTAGGAATTTTGGAGGCAACGTTTAAACCATAGCACCTTGTCAAAGATTAGTTGA